TCATCATTGGAGAGCATGGAATTGCCATTGGTGAAACAGGAAAGACTTTTGAGGGTTGCAGATTTAAATGTCAGGTCAGGAGAACAGTTTTTTATGTATCTGAGATAACTACTAGAAATCAATATATGGGTATTATATGGCATGTGGAGGAATATTTCTCCAAGAGTCTTCTGTTAACCCTTGGTATTACTGATCTGTGTGGCACCACCTTTGCCCACCCCCACACCACCACATACACTCCTCTTGCATGGGATTACATAGCCCTACTATAATTATCGAAACTAAGAAATTAATATTGGAACAATCTATTAGACTTAATTTGGATTTTGTGTGTTTTTTTCCACTAATGTCCTTGTTATTGGACATAATGTTACATTGCAATTATTTAAGTAAAATTATTTAAGTTTAAGTAAATGTAAACTCTCTACTCATTTTATAATTATTTCCATAAATCTAAATTAGTTAAAATATAAAGTGTTTTTTAAATCTTAATCTATATGTTGGGAACATCAAAGTTAAGGAAATTTTTCAGAAATTAGATTAAGAGAACCAAGAGGTGGAAAATAAGACATAGCAAGAAATTTAGAGGACTTATTTAGGAAAATTGGAAAAAGAAAACAAGGATGAGGGATCATAAATGAAATAATTAAAGAAAACTTTCTGAAACTGAAGAACAGACAGTTTTCAGACTGAAGGACCCACCAGTTTTTAGTGCAAGGATCCACACCAGGAAACATCATTATATTTCAGAATATGGGGATGAAGAGAAGATTCTTCAAGGTTTAAAGAGAGAAAAACATATAGGTCACATATAAAGGATCAAAAATCAGAATGTCTTTAGATTTCTCAAGATTTTTTCAAATTTTCAAGATAAATACATGTATTTCTGCACATAACATAATCTGCCTGAGAGGCAATTTGGCAGTTGGTAACAAAATCTTAGAATTTTCCGTATGATTTTGAAGATATATCCCAAAGATATATGCTATGCAGATGGTTGGTCAGAATGGTCTGTTTTATACACACTCAAAAGTAAATGCTTGAATAAACAAATTATGGTCATATTCAAATAATAGAGTAATATAGAAAAATAAAAATTATATTGTATGAGAATCGTAGTGTTACTGAAAAAAACCTTTTATTATAGGTTATTACATATATTACATAAATATTTAAATATATGTATTTCTGCAAATTTTACCTTGAAAGGAATTTCTTAAAATGTGTAATTAAAATGTGTAATTTCTGGAGCAGAAATCAAAGTTGTTACTACTTACAATAATAACTGCCCCAGTTTCCTATACCCAGTGCCTCAGAAAGCCAGATGTCAGCCTGCATCTGTCTGAAATTAGGAAATGGGAGTTCATTCACATGGGCTTGGAATCTGCCCCTCATGCTCCTGAGACAAGCAGAGAAGTTGCTCCCTAGTAAACAACAATCCTAAATATAAACACATTGGGAGATAAGACCCCAAGTGTTCTCTGAAGGTCTCTTGTTATCCAATTACCCTTTAGCTTCCAAAACTTTGTGTAGAAACTTAAAATTATTCATGGCCTTACAGATTTATTTTCAGACCTAGAATTCCACATAGCTCAACTGTCAAGAAATGTGAGAGTAAAATGGATCTCAAAAAATTTACATTCTGATTCATTCCTCAGATAATTACGTGCTCTTCCACCAAAGCAAGGGGATGAATTAAGATGCCATGGGATCCAGTAATACTTTTTAGAGTTAAAATTTGATTTTTTAAGAGATTTGTTTATTCATGCATAGAAGAACTGGGGTTGGGACAGAAAGGCAGGGTGTGAGAGAATTCGCTAGAGACAGAGTCGGGAGCAGAAGAGACAGATCCAATGAAATACACTGCTGAGGGCAGCAGTGTGCCAGACAGAAGTCTGCTGTGCCACATGTGGGTTAGCTCCCTTGCCTGGGGAAAAAACTCAGGCTACAGCCAGGGTGACAACGCTGAGACTTAACCCCTAGGCCACCAGGGAGGCCCAAATATTTCAGTTTCTTTTAGACATGCTTCTAAAATTTGAGAATGTCCTTAAAAGAGGAGCAGGAAGTCCAGCTTTGGTGGTATTGTATCATGTGTGGCATTATTTATTTAGCTACAGATTGTGAAAATCTGAGTTGAATCATCCATATGCCCTTCACCTTGAACTTTAGAAATAGTTACCAGCCTCTGAAAACCACTCTCCTACTACCTCTCATAGGTATTAAGGAACCTCACTTTGGGATTACCTTGGAGAAATAAAAATACTGGGACTAATGTATTATAGAAACTTTGGGCAGCTATTTGCATAAACCCCTTTCTCCCTAGTAAGGATGTGTGCAGGGCCAGCTGCTCCTTTCCGTTATGAGGGTGTATGACATGACGATGAGATCCCAGGCTCTAGGGGCAGAAGGACCTAGTCTTCTCTCTGGGCTCTGATAATGATTTGACATCGACAGGACTAACTTCTTTGAATGTTGGTGTCTTTATCAATAAGATATACCTTGGAGCTGTTAGAAAGCACAGAAAGGTTGCGTATATAGCATACCCAGTAAATATCCAGTATGTAAGGCTTACTATTAAATTCCTGATCCTCTTGATTTACTCAGTGACCAAGTTTCGACACCGGAAGTGAGAGCTAACCAACAAAAAAACCAGCAATGCTTCGTAAGAATCACTTAGAACAATCAGTTAGAGGTTTCTGCCTTCTGTTAAAAAAGAGAAAATGGCTATACTCCAAATTAGCTTAACAGCATAGAATGCCTTCGCAGAACTCCATCAAGTGGCAGACTGCCTCACGGAGAAAACAACAGAGTATTTTTTCCCCTAGGTTTCCTTTAGCTTACTTGCTATCCTACCCTATGTAGGGTGTCCCCCTCACCTGGCAGATGGGCTCTACGGTAGAACCATTTTGAGATGTCATTTGGAGCTTCTGCTAATCATGTATTTTGCTCATGGAGTTTCTTCCCTTACAAACCTGAGTTAATAACATCCTTGTTCAAAGCTGCTGGGATCCAAGTTCTCATTCTAATTTTCTTTGCATCAGTATCTTTCTTGATGCTAGGATCCATTATTTTTAAGAAATAAATCTTAATTTCATCTTACTACTCCTCTTTTAAAATTCCATTACCACTGAGAGAAAATGAGAATTACTCTGTAGTTTTCTAAGTATGTTCTAGGAATTAAGATACAAAACAGGACATTTTTAAAAATGCATTTTTTGCCCATATAATTACTGTAAATTTTACAAGTATAAAGTTTTGTAAAACTTGGGAAAGTAACCATTTAATTTCATACTGACGGTAAGCTCCATGAAGGCAGTAATGATATCACTCTTTCTTGTTCACTATTGCATCCCTTAGCATCTAGTCCAACGCCTGACATATACACAGCATTAGTATTTATTAACTTATATATGTTAATGTAGCTTTATAGAAAGATTATGTACATTATGTACCTCCAAAGAAGAGCAAAGTGATTTAGTAACCTGGTATTCTGGAACTAAAAGGAAAATTGTGATTCTTACGTAGTAGTATAAGTCTCTTTTGGAAGAAAGCAAAAGATCATCCTGGAATTCATCAAATTAGAAAGGAAAGGGTTAGGTGTGGTCTGAAGTACACACAATATTAGAAAAGCAAAATATAAAAACACCCACTAAAGTGCATGATTTCATGAGACTAAAAAAGGAGCTTTCAAATCAACTCTGTCCTAACAGGGAACTGGGCAGGCCAAGTATTTGCACTTGACTACATCCCAATGACCTTGTTATAATGACAGGGGATTAAAAATTAAAGAGAAGCCACAATCACTGAAGAGTATGGTAATGCTAAGACAAAAACAGCTTCTATAGAGTTTCAGTTTAGGGCTAAAGATTATATAACTGACAGACAACAAAGTCAAAAGAGAACTTAAATTTTGCTTCTGGCTTTTCTATTGAGAATGCTCTTTAGGAAAAAGGGAACATTTATTGCACATCTAAAAATTGGGTAGGTGATGCCTGAAATTTTTGCTACCATGTTTAATGTTCACAGTGGACTATGAGGTGGACATCACCATCACTTAGAAAGAAGCATGCACTAAACTGTACTTCCTCCTCCTTCTAGATACTGAAAGATTTACCTGAATATTGGTAACTGGGAATAGCTCTTAAGGAGATGATGGAAACACACAAATGCAGAAATCTGTCACAATTCAGATAAATTACATCCAGGGTCCTTGAGATAAGATTAATGCGGTGACCTTTAGGGAATCATGAGTGACAGGTGATGGGCGAATGTCATCTTCATTTTTTAACTGAAAGTTTAAAACACGACTGGGAAGGGACAGAACTTTGCTAGGGAGGGGCCAAATCTTTTCTGCCTTTTTATCTCCAGATTCTTACCCAGAGCTCCACCCACAATGCTCAATGCCTGTTGAATAAAAACCAGCCTATCTTCACCTATATGAAGAGTTAAGTAGATGCAGGATTAAATTTATTTTGAGTAATTCTGAGAAGGGAAATCTCCCAGTTATAAGAATGTATGCAAAAAATAGAGACAGAAGGTGCAGTTAAAGCTGTCTCAAGATGGAGTGTACAATCAGGGAGGAATGGAGTTCCCAGTCATTAAAAGTGTTCATTGATTGAACAGTTTAGGCACCCAGTTAACACTGTGATGGCTACTACCTTACCTCCAGCCTGATGTCTCCCATCCTTTGGTGGGGGTTTTTGGAGAGGCAGGTTGGGGATGGTATTGGGAGAGGGCTTGTTGGATAATGGAGAGAGGTGAATGTAGAGAGGTGATTTTGGCAGGTCTCAGTTTTCTTTTCTGGAAGCCTCAATTCAGAATTAAAGTCCATTACCTTGTTATACTAGTTCTATTACACTTTTATACTGAGTTTTTACCGCTGCTCCAGGAACTTATCACCACTAACACCACTGCTCCATAATTCCACTTTCCCAATGGCTTAGAGATGACCTTATACAACTAAAATAGAAACTACATACAGTTGCATCATTCTAGTCTCAATTTTTTTTTTTTTCAATAGGATAGAAATTTGTTTAGTATTTTACTCACTTGATAGGAAACTATCATTTTTAACAATTCCAAGTTTGAGAAAATTAATTAGCAACAAATTTCCCTTTCTCAAAATTTCCCTTCCTCAATCCTGGTCAATACAATGCTATTTATCATCTAAGTTAAAATCAACTTTGCAAACAAAATCAACACACTCTTTGTACAAACACAAAAAGGTGACTTTTAAATAATAAAAGATAGTAATGTTGACATTTAGATTTGTCCTTCCCTCTCACATTGCGCATTTAGTGTAAACACATTTCAGAATTAACCCTGAGATTGGAGATTTCCTTGAACTGCCTACCATGAAGGCCTCACCATCCAGGGGATTACTGAAGGTCTCTTGCTGGAATGACAGGCAGTCTGAATGACCAGGACCCAGCACACAAGAGACCTGCCATGTCATAGTTTGCAACCTCCAAGGAAACAAAGAAAACATGCACCTTAACACACATATGAACCCAGTACTGGTGGTAGACATTAAAATACAAATATATTTCTCATGCAAAATAGAACAAAAGGTATTTACATAATACAAATAAAGTGCTGAAAATTAAAGTTTCTTTTTAGGGGTACCACCATATGGTTTCAATGAAGATTAATACCACAAGTTCAACTTGCAACTCTGTAAAACCACCATGAAGATAGGATAGAAAATGCACTTTGGTGGGAATCCTGATGTATGAAAAGTTGCTAAGAAGAAATGAAAACAGGAATGATAATAGCATATTTTCTTTTATATACAAATATGAAAGACCAAAAAAAGGTTTGTTGAGTAGCGATCAACAAGATGTTAAATTGTTTCCTCTGCTTTGGTTAAAAAGCCTAGGAATGGCAATTGGCTCCTGTTCTACTTACAGCATGTAAACACAGTGACAGGACCACTTTTTGACAGAATAAACAATTCTTAAAAAAAATTACTTTAAACTAAACTAAGCATTTTACCAATAAATAACTTTCTTAAAAAGTTAACATCTTCATCCTGCAATCTTGGGTATAACATATATACCAACTAAAAAAAATAAAATTTCTTCCACAATAGTAACTACAGGTGTTAATGCAACAGCAATGAAATGAACCTTAATGTAGTTTAAAAATAAAATCCTAGCAACCAAAAATTGGAAAGATGGACATTTTTCTAAAATTGTACATTCTAAAATAACTAAGTACTTTATTACAGAACATAATTGAAATGTGTTATTTCAATATAATCCTAAAGAAATGCTTAAAAAAAATTTGTACACCAAAATTGGAATAGCATTTATAGTTCTGTTTATGGTTATAAAAAGGCAATCAACTTTTACTTAAAACTGTAACCAGTGATGAAATATACTTCAAAAACATAATCATTTGGTCTGACAATTTTTAATATTAGTTTAAAAAGTCTGACGTTTGTTGCTGATGGAAGTTATTTTAATCCAATGTGCAAAAAAAGTGCAGCTGTCTACTTTCACTTGAAATACATAAGACCAACACTTCTACACTATTTACACACTTAAGACTTTAAATTTGTTCATTTAAATAAGGATAGTGCATCTCCTTTAAGGATAAATCATATGCTCCCAAGAGCCCAAAAGTTTGCTATTCTGTTAAATGACACAAAATGCATCTAAAGAAGCATCCCTGTTCCTGTCCTAATTTTGAGTCTAAATAAAAACCCAATTTCAAATCAATCACAAATTATTGTGATCTAGAAATCTTGGAATCGTTGCAAATGTGAAAACCTTGTCTTTGACAGCCCCATTCCTGTTAACCCTTATCTGTTCCTCTCACCACTGGCCCGCCCCACAGACTGGATCTGGTGCAGAGTGGCAGCGCCTCTAACAGGAGAGCAAGAATTCAGTCTCACGCCACCAGCTCATTGGTGGATTTGTTCAGCCTTGGGGAGCTGGGACTACAGCTTGATGACAGGTATAAAAATGAATAAAGAAATATTTCAGCAAAGCAACCATTATTTGTGCACAAAAACAGTGATATAAAATTAACAAATCTAATATAACCAAATCTAAGACCATTCTGCAATTTCAGAACTTGTTTTCATATTTGCGCAGTGTTCTTGGTCAACCACCCAGCAGTATTTTCTTCGTCTACATGAAGTACTTTTATTAAGTTATTAAAAATGCTGTTATGACCACAAGTCACATGTAATTGCGATTAGGAAATCAATGTATTCAATTATCAATCTGTGCAGTGCACACACCAGTGCAGCAAGTGTAAAGAGGAATTAACAATGGAATAGAAGTCTCTCACTTCTGAAGTGGACACAGTTCTCAAATTAAAATAATAAAAAAAAAGGAGGGGTCGCTGGCAACATTAATACTAGACACCAGACAGACAGTGAAAGTGGTCAGAACCAAGGAATGTTATTTCCTTGAAAAGTTTTCAAAATACCTAACCAAGCACTGCCTTAAGTCCAGTGAGTACAATGTTCCACAAGTTTCACAAAAATACAGTGACTGGCATTTATTTATTATGAACAATGCAATCTCAGTCTTGTGGCTCAGGCAGAGTGTTCCTGTCCCATCACCTCTAGCTACAGGCTATTGTTTCCAACTGCTGCTCTGCTTCTGCGGCCATCGCTGCTGCCTGTAACTGTTCTGTCTCACTCTGGATGGCACTAGGGGTAACCTGCTTCCTTTCACTGTGCATATTGTTCTCGTGCCTTTTCAGATCAGATGCCTTGGCAAATGCCTTGGTGCAAGAGCCACACACAAAAGGCTTTTCCCCTCTGTGTCTTCGCTCATGGTCTTTGAGGTGGGACTTGTGTTTGAAGGCTTTGTCACACATATGGCATGCAAACGGTCTTTCATTACTGTGAACTCTCTCATGCTTCTTTAAGTCTGGGGCGCGAATAAATGATTTTCCACACACCTCACAACTGTAGGGCTTATACCCTGTGTGGATTTTTAGGTGTTCTTTCAGGTGGGCCTGTGTGGTAAAACCTTTTGTACACATTTCACAAACAAATGGCCTGTCTGCCGTGTGGAGTTTTTCATGCTTCCTCAATCTGCCTTCATCAGAAAATGTCTTACCACATGCTTGACAGGCAATCTGCTCCCGATGGTGGCCATAAAGTAAGTATTCAAACTTCATGTCACTGGCAGCTGTTGTCCAGCCTGGTGTCTGTTCATCCTTCACCTCACTCATTCCATCATTAAATGTTAAGGCTTGAGGGGTCTGGGACCCCAAATCTTTTGATTCTGGAGTCTCCATGGATTCTACTTCCTGGCCGTAGCAGTTGACTTTTCGAACTTCCTCGCTCCCCAGCTCTTTCAAGATGGCTTCCTGAACCCTGAGTGTAGTTGTGGGTGACTTGCCGTCCTCCTGACTCGGGGGGGTGCCTTCTACTGTGTCATCAGAGGGACTGTCATCCTGATCTCCAATTTCTTCCACATCATCATCCTGAGTGTCAGCAGCATCTCCAATAGGGCGATTTATTTTGAGGCAATACTTACTTTTTGATTGGCCATTGTTTTCATCGGGACTAGATACATCACGCTTCTGAGAACATAGTTTATCCAAAAATCGGATACCAAGAATCTGACCAGATGACATCATTAAATTAACATCCTCTTTTTTCACTGAAATCTTTGCTGTATACATGTAGTTCAGGACCTCTTCAAATATATCAGAACGAAGAAAATCTATTTCTATTACTGAAGAGCTATCGACCTCGAGCTTCTTGAAAAGCTTTTTAAAGTAGGTGCTGCAGGCTGCGAGAACACATCTGTGTGCTCTGAATTTCACATCCTCAACCACAATGGCAATATCACAAAATTCTCCTTCCAGGCGTTGTTCATTTAGTGTTTTCAAAAACAGAGTTTTATGATCATCGTCATTATATTTAATGGTTTCAGACATACTGATGAAAAACTCCTACAAAAAATTTTTTTAAAAGATTAGAAATTATGAATACTTTTCCATATAGAGACACAAGTAGAATTTCATTTTCGGATCAAGTTTTGGCATCTAAGTTTCAGAAAGCTAATGTTAAGCATTGTTTAAGAGAGGGTAGAAAACACTGATCACAACTCACAGATTTCCAATTGCTACTTGTACTCTTCATACTAAGTATTTGCTTAGTTGCAGTAACAACAGCTTTTACTGAGCCATAATACATGCTTGGCATTCTTTTATGTACTTTACATCTTCACAGATGTAATGATCAAATTACTAGTCCCATTTGATGGGTGAGGTTAAGAACCTGCCAATATTCTTGTTATTTGGTAGAAAGCGGAGATGCAAATCCACGTACTCTAATTCCCAACCCTGCACTTCCCAACAATTAGAGGTAATAATGACAACCCAGTTTCAAGGTCAAAGAAACAGATTTAAGGCAAAGATCCTCTAATCCAGTATCTACTGCATCTACTCTAATTCCACATATGGAGGAGGATTCAGTAAAAGAATAACAGCACTTGGTGTTCTTTCTTGATAGAAAAGACAAATCACTACAGCAGAACTAGAAAGGGATTTCATTGCCAAGATATTCCATTCAGTGTTGCCTCCCAGTTTTTCTATACCAGTTTTGGGTCATTTCTGAATGGGGGCTAAGGTTTAATAGAACTTCAGAGAATCAGTAACATCTGTGAAGACCGGGATGAGTGGCTTCATGCCCTCTGGATGCCAATCTATCTGCTGTCCAGACATCAATGTCATCAAGACTGGATGTACTTGACAAGTGTTGTATTTTATATGCAAAAGAAATTTAGAACTGGCATAAAAGACATGTCACCATATTAAAGAATTATGTCTTTAAAAAAATGTGTCCTATATATTTTCTTTTCAAAAACAGTAGTTCCCTTTCAATCAGAAAGTGTAAACATGAGGAAAATACACATTTCCCACAGAGAAACAAGTACTAATGTTAGTGAGATATATGTATTTTAAAACAAGCACAACTCATAGTCTCAACACATAAAATTCAAAGTTATAGTTACCATGAACAACTCAGGCTATTATCTTAATGCTTTAAACACCAAATTCTTCAGATCAGAATAACTCTGATCAGGGGCACGCCAGTCCTACAACAGAAAAGACACATAGAGAGTGAGGCAGGAGCTTCCTGTATGCCAAATTTTGAACATGAATGTATTTCAGAATTATTTAAAAAACACTTTCCTTTTTTGTCTTGGCACTTGTACCTGTACCCATTTTCAGGCTGGGAACGGAGAGGAGAGGAAGATGGCTGGTAGCATCAGGTCCAGCTCTGAACAGGTATGGGCTGCAGCACATGGGGTGTGGTAGGACTACACACTGGAAATTGGAAGGTTGGGTTGGAGAAACACTATGAAATTTCTCCTTGCCAAGCTTATGTGTGTATTTGTACAGATGTCAATAGCTACACAGACACAGAAAAAGTAATTGAGTGCCCATGGTCCCCATCATTTTTTGCTGGGTATGTGGTCTCCCACTGTTTTCTGTAGGCACACATAAACAGTTTATTTTTTATAAATATAGAAAATGCTAGGGAAGTATACACACCCAACAGTAAACGGAGAAAAGGGAAGAGTAGATGCTTTTTTCTTTCCTAACTTCCACGTGATGTAGTACGCATCACATAATTTACAATGGTCCTTACGTTTGCATTTGGAAACCCCAGCTGTTTTTACCTCTATCTTTACAGAAAGGGTCAAAGATTTCTACCTTTTTGTTAATTTTAATTCTTACCCGTGGGACTTTATTATTGTGCACACCAATATCTTGAAAAAGTTTCCTCTACTCAACAGTGACCACACAAACTGTGTGTGAACCAAGGGAATGGGCTGCAATGGTCTTACACAAAAACTGTGTTGTGGGACTCGAACCTAGAGCCCATCATCTGAAAACCATCAAAAGTTTCCACTTACAGAGGAGCGAACACACCCATTAGTTGACAAAAGTAGCAGGTGTTTTCTCCTCTGCAGTGTGAGGGCTGGGACAAACCTCTCGGTTCCCTTGATGCACACAGGCCAGCAGTCAATCCCGAGAGAGGGCAAACAGGCAAAACCTTCCTACCGAGCTACTTCCTGCAGTAGTCAGTAACTCTAAGGCTTGTGGGATAAAAGTATATAGCATGCGGCTAGGGAGAGGAGTGGCCAATACAGTACCCATGGCAACGTATCAGTAGCCATGCTGATTTTTAAAATTTCTTTTTTTGGCCCCACTCTCTCTGTCAAGGACCACTATTTTTTCCTACTGAGATCTTCCAATTTTAAGCTCAGGTTGAGTCAAACTGGAAGATCCCCTTAAGTGCCTGTGTAGGTGGAAGAAAAGATGTAGCCCCGACGACATCTCCAAAACAAAGCTGCCCTTTCACTACAGTGGTCCCACCGCCAGCGCTCGGAGCCCCGTTTGGGAGCAGAGAGCACAAGCGCCTGCACAGAAAAACTTATATAAGCGGCGGGAGCCGCCTCCCCGGGCCCACAGTGGCCACAACAATGGCTGCGGCGCGACTGCCCGGTGTCCAGCTTGCGACTTCGGGGTGGAAGCGCCTCTTCAGGCCTCGCTCTTATTTCTCCGGCCCGGGAAGAGGAGCGTGGAAAGGGCCGTCGGCATCGCTTCCCGGACAAAAGCTCGCCGCCGCGGCGCCGGGCAGGGAAAGGGCTGCTTTCCCTTTCACGATCCCGGCCCCGGCGACGGCTGGGGCTGCGGCCGCGGCTCCAAGCGCGAGACCGAGGGCCCGCGGGGCCCCGGCGGCGGCGGCGAGCGAGAGCGGGCGTGCGGCCGGGCTCCGCAGCCCCGCGCCGCGCCGCGCCCCGCTCCGCCCGCGAGCCCAGAGCTCGCGCCCCGCGCACTCCCCGGCCGGCTCGCGCCGGGCCTTCCCCCGCCCTCCCGCGGCCGGGGGCGGGGGCGGCGCGCGCCGGCCTCCCGAGCTCCGCGGGCGCACCCGGGAGTGCGAGCGCGGGGGTCCCGGCCCCCTCCTCCCGGCCGGCGGGGGCGGCGCGGCGCGGCGGGGCCGGCGGCTCCGAGGGGCGGCGCCGGACGGGCCGCGCTCCGCGCCGGGCTCGGGGCCGTCCCCACCCCCACCGCGGCGCACTGCGGCGGTGCGAGCGCGGGCGGCCATGAACTCCGCCGCCAAGGCTGGGCGAGCGCGCGCGCGGGGCCGTCGCCGCCGCCGGGCCGCGGCCCCGGCCCGCTCGCCGGCCCGCGCGGCCCCCGAGCCGCCGCCGCCGCCCAGCCCCGGCCCACGCCCGTCCCCGCCCGCGCCGCCCGCACATCCTGGAGCGGCCGGAGCGGCGGAGCGCGGCGGGAACGCGCCTCTTCCGGGCTGCACCGCCGCCGGCCGCCCCCGCGCCCCCGCGCCCGCCTCGCGGACGGCCGGGGCCCCTTCCGCACCCCCGGCCCGCGCTTACCTGCAGCCCGGCACAGCACAGACACTCGCCGGGGGCTCCCCGCGCTCGCTGCACGCAGGCCGGGGACGGGATGGACGCGGGGCGCGGGGGCACGGTGGGTGGCAGTGTGTTTTGGATTTTTTTTTTGGAGTTTGGGGAGGGGGCGGGGTGGGGGGGATCGTGCACGTCCCTGTTGGTCGCAGCCCTCCTCCTGCACGAGCACAGACTGTCTAGCCTGCCGTGAACACCCCCACCGGCACCCCCCCTTCCCGTGCATGCGCGGTGCGGGCTGGGGGGGAGGCGCGCCGCCGGCTCGCGCAGGCACGGAACCCGAGCAGGCCTCTCCGGAGGCGAGCGGGGAAAGGGTTAATCCGGGACCTTGCGACGCTTTCGTTGGAGTCTACGGGGCCGCCCCCGGAGGGCTCTGACCTGCGCACGCGCGCGCACGCGCGCGTCTCGGGGCGCGCGGAGCCCGCGCGCGGGAGAAGGGCTGGGCGGGCCGGAGGCGGGGCCTCGGCCGCCGAGGAACTGATGCACGAGCGCCGCTCGCGGGCACCCGCTCCGTCGGGATCTCCCGCCTCCCGCTCTGACTCTGGAGCTCCCGCCCGCGCCGGGCGCCGGCACAGAGGCGGGGACGCGGGAGCCGGGCGCTCCAGTGCGTGTGCATGTTCGTGGGCAGTGCCGCCCTCGGGTGCGCGCAGGCCGGGCGCCGCGGCTGCAGGGCTCGCGGGCGCTGTAGCTGCGCCGCGGAGCAGGGTAGGCGCGCAGTAAGTGCTTGCGGGAGGAGTGGAAAGTAACACTTCTCGCTCAGAGCAGGAGGGGCGACCCCAGGCTTTTAAGATGAGGGGCGCATCCCTAAAGCGCTGCACGCGGCCAAGCCCGAACCTCGCTCCCGCATTTACCCAGATGCTTTCAAGGAAAAGTGACCGGGGCTGGAGGCCATAACCTATATTCGGCGGTGTCGAGCTTGCAGTAGATTTCATTGGCAGCTTCCGCGGTGAACTCTGTTAACTCTGTACAGCAAAAGTCATCGCTCCATTGCTGTTCAGACCTTGTCCCGTTCCCAAGAGTGGGGCCTGGGAAGTCGCTCCCGCTCCCGCGTTTTCTGCTTAACCAAATACTGGAAGCTGGACAGCAATACCGCATCGCCTTAGAGTCGTTTATACTGTTTTAGCACACTGGCTTAACAGTGTTTCGCGAAAACACCATGTAATATAACATCTAAAAATTAAAGCAGTACCATCCTCAGCTTATGTGAAAATTACGTAATGCTTGTAACACTTTAAAAAATTGCTTAAATGTGGGAAATTATATGATTGGCTGTATTCAATTATGAAGACATTCTAGGTATTCTCAATTCTAGTAATTGTCGTTGGTTTCAACATTTCCCAATACTTGTATACACATCCTTTTTGATATACACAAAAGCACGGGGTTAGTAGGTCTCACTGAAAGAAGCAGAACAGAATAGACCAGTTCTAGAGTCGGATGTGTCCACTTCAACTATTGGATGTATTGTTTAAATGTCTCTGATCCTTAGCTTTTTATTCTCAGAAGTGGATATAAGGAAAACACTTAGTAGGGCAGTTGTGGGGATCAAATGAAATAATGTTCGTTGGGTGATGTGCTTAGCTTGACCCTAGATAGTGTGAGTGGCAAGACCTGAACCCACAAAGTGCATGAGCATCACATTTGATACCTCTGTGACTGTGGTCCCTCCGACCTGTTGTCTGGGCCTGTAGATAGTCTGTAAGATTACATCTCACTGTTTTGTTATTATTGGGGGATAATAATAATACTATGTTATAGGGTTATGTTTTCAAGCAAAGAAGCTTTTGCTGTATTTAGTCATTCAGTGACCTTGCTAGGACTTAGCAATGGTTCCTTGTCTTCTGCTCCCCCCCCCAACCCCTCCAATACCCATACTACACATTTGCATTGGTATATACACTCATTCTGCATATATTTGTTATCTGCCCACTAAAAACAGGTTTTTTGGGGGGAGAGTGGGATATAACTAGGTAACGTCTTCCTAGGATTTGACTAATTGAATCTGATGAAATTAAAATACTTCAGAAGAGGGCCTCCCTAGTGGCGCAAGAGGTTAAGCACCTCATTATGAAGTAATCCGCAGCCTCTGCAGCACCAGTTGCATCCCCGTCAGGCCAGGAAATAACCCACCTGAAGCAGCAGACCTCTCGTGACTCCCCCACTGCTCCCCTCAGCAGTGTACTTCAGTCAATCTGCCTGTTCTGTTCCCCACTCTCTCTCTGGTGAAACCTCTCAACCCCCTCATCTCTGGCCTGTACCCCAGCTCTTGTATGCATAAATAAATACATCTTTTAAAAAAATAAAAACTTCATAAGAGTTTTCAATTGGTAGAATGCATGTCTCAAGTGACAGATTCCTTGGTTTTGCCTGAATTAATCCTCTCATGTGTTAGAGGCTCATGTCACTTAAGCTCTGCCTGGCTATCTGTAGCTTCATGGGGACCATGGGGATGAGTCTAAAGGAGCAACTCTGTGAGAAGGAAGAGGGAAGGTTTGGAAACCATAATGGAAGGGCCTAACCCTGATGTGGCTCTTCACCTGGCTTCCAGCCTTAACACAGCGCGACCCAATACCCACTAGGTCCTTTCACAGGAAGGCATCTTGTGGGAAGATGGGGGCTCAGGGCCTTCTTGCAATGCACAGACCTGAAGCTCTTGAAGGAAGTCTCCTTGTTCTCTGAAGAATGCTTCCTCTTTACTTGGGACTCAGTTTGACAATTCTGCTGCCAGCTTGTAGTTCCTCACCTGGGATGCACACAGCTTCATTCCCAGTGGAAAATGCTTCAAGGATTGTGAGGCCTTGTGTGGTGCAGTCTTGGGACCCAGGGCATGGGGTGGTTATGGAGCAGTCCCCTGAGAGATGTGTGGAAATGTTAAATCAATTAGGGTTTCTTATGGATGGGCAGAGTTGATTTCTCCATCACTCTGACCTTGGAAACTTCGACGATTTTGGATAGGGGGATATGGGAAGACATAGGGCAAAATATGAGCAGGAGGGTGTGAATTCTGAGAATAGGCTTTAAGAAGCAGCCTATGTTCCACTCTTCCTGTGCCTGTGTGGTTCCCCAGGAGAGGACCATACCCAGGTTGGTACTTCCTCTTCAGCACAGGACCTTGAAGGACAAACAAACTTAAGAGAATGAAGCTGACCCAAAACTCCAGCCCAGCCAAGCGCAGGTATTGGGGTATCCACACACACCTGTAAAACATAAACACTTGCTTTGTAAGTCATTGTGAGGTTGTCATTTGTGCTGTTATTACAGCCAGACTAATACACCTGCACAAGGAAAAATGTTCCACCAAATGCCATAAGCAAATCCTCTCACTACTCTGAAAATACCGAGTGCCAAAGAATATTATTTGACTATTCTTAGTGTTGCATTCTTAAAAACAGAATAATTTGGGTTGCCCCTTTTCTTCTTTCTCTCTACCTTGTGTTATTTGCAAAGGTTAGCTATTTGATTTATACCAGAATAGAGCATTGTTCTACACTTGAGAGTTTTCTTCATTTCTGGAAGACAAACCTTAAGGTTTGACTTTTGTCCTTGAGCAAAGACTATCTTACCCTCTAGAGAGAAACATATTCTTATATTAATATTCAAAATACTTTGTTCTCTTTGAGCCAGCATGTTACTGAAGCTGAAATTGGTCTCCTCTGAGCTTTTAAAAAAAAATGTTAACACTTTCAGTGTATGGTGTGGCAGCTCCTGCCTCCATGGTTGGCAATGCCACTGTTGCCACCATTGCTCACCAGTAATTGGATGAAATAAAGAGTGGCTGTACTGTGGATGCTCACAAATAGAGTACGTAAGACCCTCTTGCCCTGTGCGCTGGACTGGACAGTCAATGACGGGTAAGATTGGGGGCAGACTAAAGAAGGCACTGGCCAGCCTCATGTCTGTGACTCCTGACGACCTAAGACAGGCGCAGTCCCCGAGGGGCTTCATCATAATAAACTTTGGCGTTCAGATCAAACAAGGCCTACAAGCCTATAAGCCCAATCTAGGCAATAAGCCTGCAGTAAAAAACCCCTTCTTTGCTTGAAAACAAGGCTGCTAAGAGCATTGCCTACAAACAAGCCTGATGGAATTACCTACAAAGCAGTTTAACCATTAACCAGTTAATCATTGTTTCTGAATAAGTAGTAACTTAGCAACTTGTCCATAATTAATTTTCTTACCTGACTTTTTCTATATATGTAAAAATCAGTTTCAGGAAATGTAACCACATATGCTTAGCAACTTGTAAACTATTAGCTAGAAAATTGTATTCTATGCCTAGGTAACAAGAAACATTGTTATGCTGGGAAAATAGATTTTGTGTGACCTAATGCCTTTTGAAAATGTATAAATATGCGTAATGATTTGAGCAAATTACACTCAGATTTTCACTCTCCCTTGAGTGTGTCTGTGTGTCATTCTTTCTTGTCCCCCGCCCTAATTCCTTCGACCACCTTTTGCTCGTTCTCACTCAAGCCTGAGACTGTCTCGATCTCCCGCCACCGCTGAGCTGGTCTGTGGCAGTATGGAACTATTCTTCATCTACATATGGACTGATGCTTGTCAGTTACCCTTCTGCTCTGAGACAATATCAGGACACATGACTCTCCAGGCTGTATGAAACATTGTATGCCAAAGGAATGACAGTTTTCTGATTTGCAACTGGAATTCCAATTAAGTCTACTATTATTAATTCTGGGTGGAAATAACTATCAAATTCTCCATATGTCGATTACGTATGATCATTTTCTTGCTTCTTTATTGAAATGGGTGTTTTGTCATATTGAAATTGTAAGTCTGCCATATGAAAACTGTTATTTTTGATGTTTAGTAAACTGTGGAATGTATGTAGCACATATGGAATCAACTCATTTTGGTTTAGAATTTAATATTTTTATATATTAAAATTATCATCATGATGCCAGATATTCTTAAAACTATTAAAAGAAAAATCTGTAAAGCATCTAGCCTTAGTGTTGGTGAGCTAAAATTATAGTTTCCACCTTTGTAAAATCAAAAAGCTATTTTTCATTTACAAGGAATTTACTCTCAACAGAATAACTGTGAAAAATGAAAATAAAAATTTCTCCAATTGTCATCTGTTCTCATAGATTTGTGCAAAG